ATATATATATATATATATATTTTCATGCATGTTTATGAAGTAACTGTTAACCAAAAAAAAGAGAGGAGGGTTTGAATTGTTGTATTCCTTAAAAATCAAGTCTTTATAAAATTTTGATACTTAGAAGCGTGAACTTTTAAAAGTTTTTTCAAACTTAGTTTTATTAAGGACTGCTTTTGAATGATTTTCTATAAAATAGTTTTTAAATGTTTATGGTTTTATAAACTTGGTTCTTTTTTTAAAAAAATCCTTTACTAGATTTTAACATAATGGTTGAATATGCAACATAGATATAATTAATAATAAAACAGTTGAAACAAGTAAATTAGATAGGGTAAAAGAGATTGCAAAGAGGAATTTATATTGGTTTATACATAGGCTACACTCAATCCTCACATATTGTGAGATTTTTCGCTATATCAGAAACAATTGATTTGATTACACTATTAGCTACCTATTGGATTTACAATCACACAACACAACACAGTCACTTGCTGTCGTGTTCCTCACTTAACCACTTGCTAATTTTCCTTCCTCAACAACTTGTTGAGACTACATCCCTCACAACCACTTGCTACGAGTTCACCCAATAAATTAGTTGAAACTTTTCATACCTTCCTACATTTCTAAATGCCATATTTGGGTAGGACAAGTTTTTAACAGATTCAAGACTTTTTTTTTGTATCATAACAATTGTTAAGATTACAATAATCTCTCCTTGATTATGAGGTTCCAATAAGGAAGTTTCTTACTTCTTTTTCTATTACAAGACTGTTTATAACTATGAAAGCTTGTACTTTGATAAATCTTTTATCTTGTTTCAAATAGTTCCATTGGTCTCTCTTTTATAAACTTCAAAATAGGTTCGTTGGCTTAATTTTTATGTAGTACTAATATATATTATATTGTATTTTTATTCTGGTGTTGTCAATATATTTTTTAGAAGTAGTTTGCTTCTGAATCTTTCTTCTGAGTAACCTTTTGAACAAGGTCTTCAATATTAGTGTTCTACCAGAGAGACTAATGTACAAGACCTTTCAAGGTATCTTCCCTGAGAGAAGATGTCCAACTTGAATCTCCTCGAGACATCGGATTTGTGCACACATAGGATAGCTATGACCAAGGTGTAACACCCTGAATTTTTTTACTAATACTACGAATAATTATTATTTATTTTTGTATTTATGAAGATTATTTCCTTATAATTATATTGATTAATTAAATGGGTTTGATTGAATTTTTAAAGGTTTTTAATAATAATCATTTATGAAAATTATTTTGTATAATATTATTATGATATTTTGTTATAATTATTATTTGAAGAAAATCATGTTTTAAATTGAATTGAAATTTTATTTTAATTTGATATATATATATATATATTATATTTATATATGTTATTTATTTATTTATTAATTAGTAATTCTGGATTTTCATAGCCCAGGAACGGGCCATTTCACTTTGGGAACGAGTCGTTCCAACTCGAGCATTTCTGGGTAAAATTTTAACCCAGAACGGGCCGTTCCAATTTGGGAACGGGCCGTTCTGGATGTGGTTTTACAGAACAAAATATTGACTCAGAACGGGCCGTTCTGGTTTTAGAACGGGCCGTTCTAGGAGAGGCTTTTGTATATGTTCTACACCACCTCTCCATCATGACCTCCCTCATGACAACGGGACACGCCTCCTAACCCTCCATGTTACTAGGAAGCCTCTCTTCCACACAGACTCACCGTTAGGAAGACTTTCAACACAAGTGATCCCAAACTTGGATCCACCTGCCAGCCATCATACTCGTCGAGCCGGTCACCTAATCAGACCATCGGCTTTGATACCACTTGTTGGGAACCGGGGGTTACCACACATATACACATGTCTCCACATTGGTGAGATATTGTTCGCTTTGGGTTCAAGGCCTCACGGTTTTGCTTTTGGACATCACCCAAAAGTAGGGATGGCAAATATACCCGTACCCGCGGGTAATACCCGAACCCGTCTCGACTTTGACGGGGAATACCCGGTTTGACCGGGTACGGGTACGGGTAAAACCCGATATATTAAATCGGGTACGGGTACGGGTACGGGTATGTACTTACCCGCCCCGTACCCGTCCCCGTTCCCATTTTTAATTTAATAC